AACCAAATTTTCCACCACTTTGAAACTCCAGCACATGTAAAAACTATGCTTATTAATTAACGCACATCTTCCACATTTCCTTCCAAGTCCTTGAAGGAAGTTTCCATTAGAGAGATCTTAATTCTGACATGATTTCTTTCATTTCTGTTCCAGCAGAAGATATTTTCTCCCCCCTTCTCCATTTTATTTTGCCTGCAAGTGAAGCACCCTTTCTACCTGAGATCAGAGAGTTTCCTTTAAGCTATGCTTTGTTGAATTTTCTTGCTGGCAGGCTATAAAGAAGTGTTTGATATATGCATCTTTCCTGTTTCTTAACATCATAAAAAAAGGCTGGGTGATGTTTTTGCTCATGTAACTAGAAAATATTTGTGGCTAACTGTAAGACCAGTAACATAAATCTTCATTAGTATCCCGAAGCACAATGCCACGATAACCGACTGCAGCTGAAATGCAGGGAGGATGGGAGAGAAAACAGAAAAAAGCAGAATGGCCGAAATAATTGGCTGCTAACTGAAAATCAGTGGCTCACTCCTCATTTCCTCCAAAGAGCCCAATGACTTGAATAGCTATTAGCTTAAAAGGCCAACTGTGGGTATTTCCAAGGCCTAGGAACCACAGAGATGTGCACCAAGATCCCAGACTCACAGAAGGAGACATTGGAAATGGTGGCTCCCAGCAGATGCCATTCACAGAGGAAGTGTTAGGCATGGAGAATATAATAATCAGAGAAACCAATGGAAAACAGAAAACTGAAAGATGTGCCTGTATTTGTTTGAAAAGAAAGTCAGTCATAGAGGCATTATAGAAACATGACCTATGAACATAAAATAATCATGACTGGGGATTAAACAGCCTGTTAAAATTATTTTTTTTTCCTCTTGCCTTAATTTTCCATCTGATTAAAACTTCCCACCAAAGGCCCTCAGACTTATGGGGCTTTGATTCTGGCAATGCATTGCAACTCTGGCAGGTAGCCAGCCTTTTATTTTTATCCCTCAGCCCTTTGGTCTTTTCTTCATATATTTCTCATCTTGCAGTATTTTTTTCCTCTAGCCACAGAACATATGTAAACAACCAGAATTATTTTTGGAGTACAGAAGCATAACATACTCTATTTCTAGTTCTAACAAGAGATCATATTCTTGCAGATTCTTACTTTTTTCAATGATTAGTTTTGGGCAAACATTTGTCTGTAAACAGGATACATTTATTAGGTACTTTACTTTATGCTGCTGAGAAACAGTCAAGATCCCTAAATATGGCCAAATAAAACTAATACAAATATTAAAATTGTTTTTTTTTCTAAATTAGATTACATTTAGACTGTTGACACACACTGCTGACTTTTCAAAAATATTATCCAAAGATAATATACTCAACACAATGTGCATTGCAAACCTACCTCCAAATCCTAAAAGACAAGTTTACCAGAGTGCTTAGGAACATAGTAAACATGCTAAATTGCTTTCTGAATCTCAAAATGCTGAAGTGCACTCTTAATGCTTTGTCAGCTTCAAGCCTACCTCAATGAAAGGATGTAACATCAACAGCATTTGCTTCTTCTTTTTGTTCTTGTGAAACTTAAGAGAACTAAATCTTGATCAGAGCTTTGAAATACTTATTCACTGATATCTGTAATTGCAGTTAGTAACTTGTGACAGGTTTGTTTTGTCTGAATGTTCATTTTAAGGTTATTGTCACTACTTTTTAATGTCCAGCTCACATACATCCTTAGATTTACTAGAACCAAATTCAAAACTGCCTCTACACGTGTTCATGCTTTATTGACTTCAACTTTCACCTGTATCTCCTCTGCAATGTATGCCTTCTAGACGTGGTTCTCTTACTGAATCAGCAACTGTCCATTTTAAACCCAAGCGTAAGTCTATAGTAGATCTGTCAACCAAAATTTCCAAATGTGCTTGCCCTCCCAAATAGCCATCCTGTAAAACTGTGCCACTTGAAGACATCACTCCTTTTTGAGTGGCTTTTATAGGAAAATTCATGCTGAAGTTTAAAAAAAAAATCCTGGCAAATCTTCTGCATTTTACAACTTAGTATGTCCACAACAATCACTAAGTCTGATTGCTTTGACAGCTTTTTAACCCCATCTGCTGACTCCAAGACTCTTTTGTCCTTCCCATCCCAAATTCTACCACAGAGCCTAACATTATTGAATGTCAAGATCTTCCACCATCTACTTGGTTACAGTTTTTTCCTTAAAGAGACTAATAACTGTAAGACATCTTACACCATAATTCTACATCATTAGTACATTAATGGATATACGTATTAGCTGTGTTCTTCATATACTGAAAAAGCATGAAATGCTAGAAATATTCTGAATTAATTCTATATATATTTCCCTCCTTACTTGTCACAGACATACAATGTGGGAATATTTTATGAATATTATTTTACACTTTAAACTGTCCTTTGTGTTTTTGCATTTTGCAGTCCCTCTTTTTCAGTCAAATCTGTCGACTCCAGTTGGCGACCTACTTCTTTTATTTCTTTGGACCAATTTCCTGCCAGAGTCATGCAGCCAAAAAGGTAAAAAAAAGGTCTACAACTGTTCCTTCAGACACACATGTTGCTTGTGGTGCTCACTCTGAATTTGTCAGAAAAAAATTATTGAGGGTAATGTATCAGATGAGAAAGAGAGCACACAACTGCAGATAAGCTTTGATTCTTTGGAGGTACTTTTCCTCACAGCATCTCTAGAAGTACCTTCTTGCTCAGGATGAGTTTATGACTTGCTTTGACATCCTCACATGATGATGCTCTCAATTGACTAATTTCTTTAAAAACTACAGTTTCAAAAGCTTTCACTCTTTCTGTGAGCATTCCTCATTAGAGAGAAGTACAGCTGTGATGGATTTTGAAACACCTTTTACTGTGTCCTATGTAAGTTAATGAAAACACTATTAATAATGAGCGGATCTTAATTCTTGCTCATAAGTATGCACTGTGGAAAATTTATCCAAGATTTTAGTTCTGCAAGCTGCAGAAAACCTGCTGGAGACACTTGGGACCTTGTTAAAGATCCAAGATATTTTGCTACTTTTGGGAAATTTGAATTCATCAGTTCTGAGTTGCCTCCTTCATCTTTCCCCAGCCTGCCATCCGTGCACGTAACAAGCTAAAAAAGGCTCACATGACCCTCGTATGGGCCCCTTTTATCTTACTCAAAGCATCTTTCATTGGAACTATGTGTCTTGAGCACACGCAGCAGGAAGTGTTTCCCAGCAGTCCAACCAAACAGAGCAACCCAAATTGCATCTTGCAGCCAGTCAGAAAACCAAGGTAACTTTTGTGGCAAACTGACTTTTTTTTTCCTGAAAACCTAAAGAAAGTTCCTGAGCTTCTATTTATATGTATGACTTTTCAAGATGAACTTCCCACTAAGAATTTCAGTTCATGTTCTATATATTATACATTGGCCAAGTGTGATTAAAAGCTTTCAGCTGCACCCTCTATGTACTGAAGCTGTTCCATCTACTGAAATACTGAGATTCTATTTTCTTCCATTACACAAAAGTTCCCAACATTTCCAGTGGCCCAATCCTATATAAAATACTCCCTTGAAGGAGCACTGGTACCACAAATGTCATGAAAAGCAGTTTGCCTTATCACTTGCTTGCTGCAGCCATTTCTGGGGGGGATTCCAGGTACTTGTTCCAGGTACATATCTCAATGAGTCCCTATGGAAATTATCAGTATCCTTGATTGTAATATTTTAACCTCTCATTTTAACGTTAAAAAATTCAGTCAAGTCTGCCTGCTTGTCCCCATCTACAAGCTTCTGGCAGCACATACTCAGTTTAATGACAGTCTTGGTTCTGTTCCAGCAGATTATTTAAAAAAACCCCACATTCTGATGAAAAAATCAGCTGTGCTTAAATAGCCACATAGTCCAACCAGACAATTTGAAGGTTTTGGCTGTTTTTTATCTTTTACAGACCCTTATCAGGCCAATATACACATACACACAGACAATATTAATGGGGAGCTTAGTAATGTGTTTGTGCCTAAGTGTCATGATCTGCTGAACACATTACAGTAGGTGCATTACAGGGAATGCATTATTGCTGCTCTGTGTATCCACAGCCAGGCTTATTCAAGAGACCAAGGAGCTTAGCTTAACACTGGTCACCTCAGGTATGTCTTGATGATGTATTTTAAATGTGACTACTTAGAACATAAACAAGGACATGTATATACTTAAATACTTATCAGCAATTTACTGTAAAAGCAGTAAGGTGGCTGATAAACTGCCAATTATCCTTCTCCCATGTGCTACATATTTGTTGGAGATCTTAACAACAGTGCTGGAGAAAGGACATCAAATGATGCTTAGAAATGTGATACACATTTTCATTTCACACTCCATCAGTTTTTACAACTAGAGCTCCATGAAATGTATGAGAATACTTGGCTAACAGCCATATCTACTGAGCTGTAAAATAAGAATCAGATCTCTTTTTAAAAGAGTTTCATTTTTTTTACATGACTAAATCAGATGTTGACCTTTTTCCAAAATATATTGTAAATATATTCTGCACCTCTACCCATCAATTAATTTTGAATCTCTGAATAGTGTTTAGACCTTTTTAAACAGATATGTAATCAATACATTTTTTTGTTTAGAACAGCTTTGTAAAAAAATTAAACTAATTCCTCCTTCCATTAAACTGAAATATATTGAATTATATAATTACTGGTGTTTAATCTTTTCAATTCTAGTATGTTCTTTACCCATCTTGCATCTAGAAACAAGAAACAAGTGTATTATTGCCTTTATAGTCAGCAAAGTAAAGCTATGAGCATCAGCAAAAATATATTTTGAATTCAGATTTCAATCTGTCAGAAAAGATTAAAGCTTCATGCATATATAAATGGGAACTATAAAATGATAACAGATACATAGCATGGAATCATTTTGCTTGAACAGCTGTGGATTTGCCAGTGTAGCAAAGCAGAAAATTTCTTTTACTCACCTCTGTTAAACCAGAAACTTCTCCTTTTGCTAATGGTCTGCTGATGGATGCAGTATGAACTCTGGCATCTGATACTGGCTGCCCCTTCATAAAATGTTTCCCAGCCTCATAAATATTCACTTCTACCATCTTACCCATTAACAGTGGATCCTTTGGCACAAGAACCTTTCAAATAAAATAAAGACATAGTTACTAAATATTGCAAGGAACATTAGAGTCTCTTGTATTCATTCAGAAAACAGATTTTTGATAAACATCAGAGAAAATCCTAAATTTAAACATTTTAGTCACCAGTGTACACTACAGCCCTGGCACACTTGACCAGTAAGATCTCCAGCCTGTATTCTACAAGAGCTTTTCAGTGTTAGCTCAGCTCTTTTCAACTCCAACTGATTCCTAAAGTCATGCTTTTTGATTGATGAGAAAGTTGGGCCTGAATTACAGCTTTTGAATCCAGACCCAAACAGTTCCCAAGGACATTTGTACTACACAATTCTAACAGACTGCTGTAAAGCTTCCCATTTTCAGCTCTGTCCCATGGCACTTAAAAAAAAAAAATCGGAGTCTGTAAAGGCTTCAGGACAGAAAGTATACCCTTTTCTCTCTTTGCACAAGCCTTTATTTTGATTGTGCAGATCCTTTGCAGCTGAGATGCATGATTGACAATGAATGCCTGTAAAAATAGATGACTGTTTCTTGGGTCAGCAACTAATGCCACTCTTTCCTAAATTTGCACAACCGTGATATCAGACAGTCCCACTTCACACAAAAGCACTAAACAGATGTTCTTAGGTCATGCATTTAAAAAAAGAAAGAGCCCAAAACACAGGAGCAACATTTTTTGGAATGGAAGAATAAATGGACTTTAAATGGCTCCAAAATAGGTAAGCAGTTGAAAAAGAAAGGCGGAATAATTTATTGATGAAATTACGTTTTTTTCACTGTTTACAATGAAAATTTGAATCATGGGGACTTATTAAATAACGTTTACTTGAAGCTTATCCACACACAGAATCCTAGAGTGGATCAGGTTGGAAGGGACCTCAGAGGAGTCATCTGATCCAATCTCCCTGTTCAAGCAGGGTTATTGTAGAGCACATGGCACAGGATTGCACCCAGGCAGTTCTGGAATTTCTCCAGTGAGGGAGACTCCACACCCTCTCTGGGCAATCTGTCTCAGTGCATGGTGACCCACACAGTAAAGAAGCTCTTCCTCATGTGCAGCCCCACATTTCTCTTCACAGGGAAAAGCAAGGCACAATTCTTCCCAAGAATATTTCTGGGTTTCACATTCTCTGAACATCAGAGAAAGAAAACACAATTCTTATCTCATTTGCTGTGCCTCTGTTTGTGCAAAAGTAGAATGCAATATGGAGATTGTTTACCCAAAGTGATGGTGTTTTGTTTCCTTGGCCTATCAGGGCCAAGAGTGTGTGTGTGTCAGGACTGTCACGGGACAGTCATGAGAATTCTGTGCAGTTATGTGCAGAGTTGAGTGCTTGGCAGATTCAGTTTAGATGTAATATAGTATAGTATTAGTATAATCAGCCTTCTGATAAGATGGAGTCAGATGCATCATCATTCTCTCTCCCCTCGTTGGGGTTGCCTGCAAATTCGATACTCATGTTCAGGGGGAATTTCCTGAGCATCAGTTTCTGCCCATTGCCCCTTGTCCTACAGCTTGGCACCACTGAGGAATAGCCTGGAAACACCCTCTGACACCCTCCCTTCAGATGCTTAGGGACATTGATGAGATCCCCTCTCAGCTGCCTCTTCTTGAGGCTGAACAGGCCCAGCTTCTTCAGCCTTTCCTCATGAGAGAGGTGCTTCAGTCCCTTGATCATCTTTGTTGTCCTCCACTGGACCCATTCCAGCAGCCCTGTGTCCCTCTTGTACTGAGGAGCCCAGAACTGGACACAGCACACCAGGTGTGGCCCTACCAGGGCTGAGGAGAGCTTTTCAAAGGAAAAGATCTTATCTTTTTATCTTGATTCTTTGATGCTGAAATGGAAATGCCTTAAAATGGCTTAATTTTTAGGAGTACATGTGCAGAGGACTTTCAGAGAAAAAAAAATCTGTGCCACCCACATTTGGAGACCATTTTTTTACCAACACTGCCTCTCCATTTTCACCTGTCACAACTGTTGATTGTCCCACTTGGAGGAAATCACCACTAGTGGTTTTCCTTCTTCCCTGAAGGCTCAAGGTGTTCATGACTGTAAGCACTTTGAGATCCTAGGATCTTGCTGAGTTTCCTAGGCATCTTCCAAGAAAGGCAGAAATCTTTGCCTTTCAGAGACAGGCAAGCTGAGACTCAGCAAACACAAAGTCAGGATCGCAATGCTCAGAGAGTGTTACAATGTGACTGGATCACAGTTCTTCCCAAGTAACTCATCTTGGGCAAATTTAAATCAAAGAGAAACTAGGTAGCTGAGTATATATACTGGGCTCATGACCTCTGTAAGTCTTCCATCTCCTCATGAAAAAGGAACTAAGTATAAACCAAACTTCAGAAAAAGAAACAGGTTAAGTGAAAATAACTGGGAGAGTGTAAACAACCAAGCATCCAGGCTTGGCATACACTCAGATATTTTTTGAAGTATTTGTTAAGAAAAAACCCTCAATGGTATTTCTAAGAAACTAAGTTAAGCCAGCAGAAACTCACCTTGGCTGTGGATCTGGCAAATCAGTCTTTGGTCACTTTAGACTATTCTGTTCAATGTAAAACGTATCACCTAAGCCTTCATAAATGTCAGCTGCAACTCCACCACAAAGTCTGTCTGTGCAGCTGCACTGATGTGGGTTTAATAGCAAATTCTTTTAGTACAGATGAGCTCAGTGAAGACAGAATACATTTGATAACTATTTGAGTTAACAAAACACTACAGTAGGATTCTGAGCTTCAGCTTAAATAATATATAATATGATATTTAGACTTTAGAGTGGTTTTCAATTTACAGCTATTAATCTTAGTTACTAGCATGGATTCTTGTGCTTACCTGGGTGAGCAGTAGGATAGCATCCTTATGAAACATGCCACACATAACATTTTAGGGAAAGATTTTCATTTTCTTAATGGAAAGCATTTCTTCCCTAATAGAATTTAAAATGAGTCCCTATGTGACTATTTGTATTTAGTGAATCCCTTACCAGTCCCAATCATGAGCTGCATAAAGTGCAGTACAAACAAAAAATCAACACTTTGTTTCCTGTACATATTGCTTTTCATTTAATTAATTAAGCTCCCATAAACAAGGATTGAACAAAAAAGTCCCAAAAAATTTCTTTTTAATCTCTATGTGGAAGACCATGTTCCTCAACTCTGACTGATAAGCTACAAAATCAAGGAGCATCAATACAAAATGACAGAGAGAAGTTGGATATGCAGTAAAAAAAAAGAGATTTATTAAAAAAAAGGAGAAAGTGAGGAAAAAATAATTAGTGACCCATATATCTAACAGAAACAGATAGTTCAAGGATAGTAATGTTACTTACTACTAAGGAAAAACAAATAAATTAATTCTGTAACATAACCCAAAACCAGAAGCACAGCCATCATCTATAATCCCTCCAGGTTCAGAAAACATAATACCTAATGGTAGCAAAAGCAAATTGTAGACAGCTTAGTCCATTAAAATGGAGAATAAAATCATGATGATTCAGGAAAGACAATTTTATTGGTCTTAAGCAAGTCATTGGCTTTTGAGCAAAAATAACCATTTTGTGAAATTTATGTGTGTACTTCTTTCCCAGCTCAAAGATAATGGTTTTGTGTGGCAAGAATTTATCTACTGGAAGTGCCATAAGGAAATGACAAAAACTAAAAGGAAGGTATGCCATTAAGGGTGACCCACACAAGCCTGAGAAGTGAACCCACAAAAGCATAATGAAGTTCAACAAGTCCAAGTGCAAGGTGCTGCAGCCAGGTTGGGGCAATCCCAGACATAAGCACAGACTGGGAGAAGAACTCATGGAGAGTGAGAGAGAAGGGCTTGGGGGTGCTGGTGGATGAGAGGCTGGACATGGGCCAGAAATGTGCACTTGCAGACCAGAAAGCCAATTGTATCCTGTGCTACATCCAAAAAGGGGTGGCCAGCAGGGCCCCTTCCAGCCCAAACCATTGTATGATTCTATGAAACACATCGTGTTGAAGTCCTTATCTAAAAAAGTTTCTGACCCTTCTATTGTTAGGAATTTTTTTTCAAATTGCATTGCTTGAAACACTTTTCAGAAAGATATATGCAAATTATCATGACACAACTATTTAGAAATCAGTGCTTTGGGGACACAAATTAAAATTCCTGCAATAATTAACAGCTTCTCAAACCACGCTGTACACTCAAACATCCACTGTATATTTCTTAACATAATTACAGGTAAATTATATTTAAAATACAATAATAAAACAAAATATCTCATAAAAAAGTCTTGATGGTCACATGTTTCCTGGAAAATGCTTCATATTTCTTTACTAGATTTTTTTTATCCTGACACACTGTGTTGCTGGGATTATCAGAAAACAAAGATAAAAGAAAAATATGTTATTTGGTTTATTTAACTGTACCTGCTCATAGAAAGGATTGTGAGCAACATAGTAATTGGAGTCAAAGGATTCTTCTGTTACCAGAACTCTCTGCCTCTCACCAACCTGGAAAATAGAAGATGAGAGATGACTCAGAAAGCAAAACCAATGAATTATACTGAGAACTTCAGCTACAAACAAATGCCCTTAGCAGAAATAATCAAATTCTCTGAGGAACCTCTGTATCAGCAAGAAAGTGGAGTAGAGAAAACCCTACTTACAAGAGTCTAAAACTGACAGGGTTAAAAGAATCGAGGGATAGAACTGAGGGGCTGTAATGAAAAAAATGAGGGGCCTAACAGGAAAATCCAGTTCAGAAATATAAACTGATTTTTATTTATTAACATGATAGCAAATAAAAATGTCAGATATGAATGAAGTTCATTACCTTTTCATCCACCTAATGAAAAAAATCTGTGATCAATCACCAAAAGGGTGTCTTTTCTTTAAAAGTCACACTTGTAATTTACAATGCTGGGGCATCTCCTTATTCCCTCTTGGTGATCTCATTTCGCTGTACTCATGAGATCACACCAATTTCCATGGCAGTGGAGCCAACACTGCATATTACAATGACTCAAGAAGAAGAGTTTTTAACAACTCACAGACCCAACATACTAAAGGCAAAATAAACACTGGTCTGGGAAGACCTGTGTTTCAATTATACTTCTCAACTTCCAAATGCACTTACACTGTTCAAAGGAAGCATCAATTTTAAAATTAACTTGAAGACTCAAAGACAAATCAGTTGCATTCAGGGACCAAACAGCTATGGAACAAAATCTGACTTTCCCCAAAGTTCAAAATCTCCCTCTGGTCCTGTCCATTACTGAGTTTATGATGAAGTGTATAGCCTAATTTCTGCAAACCTGGAAGGACATCTAGCTCACATTTTTAGTCTGAGCCCATCTCTACTTTTTCCATCTAAATGTGTTCTAGATTATTTCCAAACTATTTGACAAATGCATTCTGCAAATTACAACTGTCTAGCAAGTTAAATTTACTCACTGCTTTTATTACTATTCTGAGACTCAAGAAGGTTTCACATTTTACTCCACGGTTTTAATATCCATGAGCAAAGTTACATTCCCCTCCCCTCTCCCTGAAAGATTCCCACCACATCCCAGTGGCAGCTGTTACACACAAATTTAAAGATCTCCATCATAAGTTCCATGTGAACTCTGCAAGATTCAGAGAGGATAATAGTGTTTTGATTCTTTAAGGTACAAGCAGTAAAAGATAAGATTGGGATTTTCTCTTACAGTTAATTGTAGAAAACAGAACTTTAAGAAATAGGAGCAGCAATGTCACATCTGCATTACAGTATGTATATGTACACACATATGTATACACATGAGATATGTATATAATTCTCCACTTGCTGAAAAGAAAGATTTCACAGAATAACTCTTGCCTTCTCTTCCTCGTGCATTTATCTGGAACATTCCCAAAGTAAACCCTGGAAAGCAAAGGAAACAGCAAGCACCCAGCTCATTTCCCCAAAGGCAGATAGACTTCACTCCCCAGAACCACAAGTTGTGGGGTACACAGCAGAAGGGGGCAAATCCCTGAGTTCCAGACCCAGTGACAGAATCCTAATAGTAGAAAAAAAAGTATATTTTTGCATACTTTTAAGAGGTGTTTAAGACTTGTTTATAACACATTTAGAATTTCCATTCTCTGGGAAGTCTGCAACTACAAATAACAACTGATAAACATACTCAAATTTTAGTAAAAATCCAGTGTAACCAACAGCATGGTGGTTTTTTTATTATTGTTTTCAAGAAAACAGTAATTAAATTTAAATCCCCAGAGGAGTTTTGCAAAACATGTCATTCAGGCACTCAAGATAAATACTCCAGTAATAAGATTACAGAAAACATTTCCCCTAAACTGAGAGGTTTTGTTGCTTCCATAATATTTGAGACCACAGCTTTTAAAAATCACAGCTCAACATCTGCTGTAGCACTGAAGTGCTCAAGTCTCAGATGTCCTGCAATATTATGAAAAAGAGGAGGACAGAATGTTAGATAAGCAACAGTCACCCTTGGGCAAACATGCTACCACTGAAAAGCACGAAGGCCAATCACCAAGTCATGTCCTCACATCCTGTTTATTATTTACTGACACCAAAACTTAGCAAAACTGGCTCAGAGAAATATTGGGTCTGTAATCATTTCTCAGTTGTCTTGTGGTTCCCTGGCTCTCTCTGGTCATAACAGTCTGCCTTCATCATGGCTATGAAGCCTGCTTGTGAGGCAGACTAGGCTACATGTGTTATCTTCATACTCTGAGATGACAGAATGGTAAGCATATTATGCAGAAAAAAAAATTTAAAAAAATCAGAGGGAAGAAGAAAAGAACACCTGTGTTAGATAATTTGATATAACTGTGGTTTCTTCAGAGACATGTTGCCAGTTTTTTCTCAGCTTTGCTTCCAGGAGCCAAAAGAGGTCAGGTCTGCATGTCTCAGTGGGCCAGAGGGAGAGGTTCTGGGCTCAGAATTTCTTGGGAATGGGAAGAAATCAGGAAGACTAAATTCATCACATAGGATCAGAATGGTGGCATTTAAATTGAAGATCAGAAGCTCAGAGGAGCAAAACAGTCTATACCAATTTACAGTACATGCATACAGACAGACGCACAGAGAAGACTAGCATGGGGCACTGTAAGGAATGAAAAGTAAACCCAGTAATTGTCCACTTGCTGAAGTTATGGATCTGGCCAAGGCTGAGCTCCAAGAGAGATACAATACTCAGCTATTTGCAGACTCCTTTGCCATAACAACAGAGAAGGAAAATTCCATTTAATGAGTTAGGCCATTGCGTATTCATGATCTACAAGAGTAATTGGCTACATGCATTTGTAAGATAGAAAATTACTATCTATCCTGCATCCAAGTATAATTAAGAAGAAATGTAAGTACGCAGAACGCAGCTTTGGTATTGAAATTTGTTCAAAAAGTGGAATATGTCATCATTTCTGCAATTATTCCCCTGGGATCTCTAAGTGCCTAAGTTTCACCTCTCTCAGAATTTAAATATGCAGAAACCAGACGTGATATCTAATAACAGTCATAATTATAATAACTTTGATGATTTTTTTTTCAGGCATGTAGCAGCAGAAGTAGTTCAGTATCTTATTTTTATTCCTATTCTTTCATCTGCTTCCATAGGTACACATGAGTTCCAGCTCTCAGGGAACTACAATCCTGCCAAAGCATCTGGAACTGAGGCAACTCAGCCCTGGCATCTCAATTTGGAAAGGTTTCCTATAGAAGCATTATTTATTACTTTATGGATGACATTATGAAAATATTTATGAATGATAGCAAAAAAACCTTGCCCAGCAACCTCCCCCATGCCAAAGTGGACTGGTCACATAATTTCCTCAAGGGCAATTTGCTTTCACCCAAAACCATGCAACAATTGCTGCTGGTCCGATCACTTCCTGCACTGCAACAGTTACCAGGAAGTTTGTAAATCTCAGAGTTAATAATCAAATCATTTAGGAACTTTTATTTCATTTTCATTTATCCTACAGGAAATTCTGACATGATAATTCTTTAACTCAGTTTTTCCTTTACCGGAAACCATGAAAAGCAGGTTTTCTAGCTGACTGATTTTATAGAACGAATGAACAGCAAGAAATGTCCAAAATCCTTCTTGGCTGCAGTCAAATTAAGTTTCTCTTTTAAACCAAAACTGACTGAATCACATAAAACACAAGACCAATTTTTAAACTCTGCAACAGTTTGGGTGCCAAGGACTGTCCCTTTTTACATGCTTTGATAGAATATTGCTAAGTAACGTCAGCAGTGGTGCCTGCTGTGATTACACTCAGGTAATGTATACCTCCCTAATTTATTTTTTTCCATCAATGAAGACTATGATTGCACAGTTTGGATTTGTTACTTACTACAGCCAGAGCATGTGGAACATGATCTTTTCCAACGTTTCCTTGTTCTTTTACCTGTATTTTATCAGCTTTGTTTTTTAAGAGCCGCTGATTGGCTAAAAATATATAAAATTCATAACCAGTGTACTTCTATACCTCTCCCATAGAAGAAAGCACACTGCCCATGTAGCAACTCCACTGATTTAGAGATAGTGGCCAAACCCTTCTTCAGACTAAGTTCAATTCATAGTGGAATTGGTGAGCATGTCTCCATTTCTCATGAAGGAGGCTGGCTTGGATTCTGACCCAAATCATCATGGAACATACTCAGTACAAGGCTTGGAAGCCACATAAAAATTTGCTTTCCTGTATTTGTTATTTAAATATGTCATAAAGCAAGCAACAAAAAATACACACCATCACAATTTATGTGTGCATGTTTTAGCAGATTATTCTGATGTATAGAATATTTCTAGTAAACATATTTGACCTTTATTAAGTACAACAAAGTTTAAGCAAAAGCAATGTAGATAGTGTTTCTTCTACATCAGTTTTGGTTTACTTCTCTCCTGATTTTTCAGTTGCGGTCTGATTATTTTGAATTAATTTTAGTAATTATTCAGACTATGTATTCTTCACTATAAAGCAGAAATGAACTGCAGGATCTATTTTTTAAAAATCATGTGAATCCATCTGTAAATAGAAGCCAAATTTCTTGAAAATTATAATCAAGCATTCTCTAGGTCTTCTGTTTACATATTGTAGAGGTGCTCTCCACCTGACAAAGAAGTCAAAGTATGCCAGTACCTCCCTGTAAAAGCAACAAAGTTTCTAGAAACTTATGACATAGTCCTGTTTGGATGATACCAGAACGCATCTCTTTTCAAAATCTCCTTTGTAGTGCTTTGCTCTGCTATGCAGCACTACTCCTCCAAAGTTTAGAATGTACACATCTCTCTCTTTCTGAAGGTAATCTTGGAGACAAAGCATGGAGTTGTCTCAGAGCTTTTAGACAAAGTTGTTTGGGATTTAAATGTGGATACTGGAAAGCAGTAACATTAAAATAGTTCAGCTGGGATAAATATACTTTTCTAGCACACAGCACAGACAGCTGCCACTTCACAAAGGCTCATGTTACAACGGCTGTCCAATTCCAGATGGGTACATGC